TGATCGGTCAAAATCCGACTGGGCGAGTATCAATAACTCAAAGACAAAAGTCGTGATTGATTGGTTAAAATTCGACTAGATGAATATAAATAACTCAAAGACAAACTCATGATTGATTTGTAAAAATATGACAGGGCGAGTATAAATAACTCGAAGACAAAACTTATGATTAATCAGTTAAAATCCGACTAGGTGAGTATAAATAACTCGAAGACAAACTCATGATTGACGGGTAAAAATTGGACTAGGCAAGTATAAATTACTTGAAGACAAACTCATGATTGATCGGTAAAATTCTGAATAGGCGAGTATAAATAACTCGAAGACAAACTTGTGATTGATAGGTTAAAATCCAACTGAGCGAGTATAAATAACTTGAAGACAAAACTCGTGATTGATCGATTAAAATCTGACTGGGAGATTATAAATAATTCAAAGACAAACTCGTGATCGATTGATAAAAATTCAACTAGACAAGTATAAATAACTCGAAGCCAGAGTCGTGATTTGTTGGTTAAAATCTGACTGGACAAGTATATATAACTCAAAGACAAATTTGTGATTGATCGGTAAAAATCCTATTGAGCGAGTATAAATAACTTGAAGACAAAACTCGTGATTGATCGGTTAAAATTTGTCTGGGCGAATATAAATAACTCAAAGACAAAATCGTGATTGATCGGTAAAAAATTGACTTGGCGAGTATAAGTAACTCGAAGGCAAACTTGTGATTGATATCGGTTAAAATCCGAGTTGGACGAGTATAAATAACTTGAAGACAAACTCGTGATTGATCGGTTAAAATTCGACTAGACGAGTATAAATAACTTAAAGACAAACTTGTGGTTGATCGGTTAAAATCCGACTGGGCGAGTATAAATAACTCGAAGACAAACTCGTGATTGATCTATAAAAATTTGATTGGGCGAGTATAGATAACTCAAAGACAAAACTCATGATTGATTGGTTAAAATCTGATTGGACGAGTATAAATAACTTGAAGACAAACTCATGATTGATCAGTTAAAATTTGACTGGACAAGTATAAATAAGTCGAAGAAAAACTCGTGATTGATCGGAAAAACTCTGACTTAACGAGTATTAATAACTCGAAGATCAAACTCCTAATTAATCGATAAACATTCGACTGGATAAGTAAATAATTCATCCATTCCCAATTCTAAATTGCTCCATTATTCTTGGCTACAATGTCAACATCATGTTGATATGATCGTATGCATATTATCAAGAGGATTTTAGAAGACATGGTTGTATACACTTTCAACATGGGTCGTAACTTAGCCAAAATATCTGTTCTTTCCAAATTGGAAAATGAGAGACATCATGAGTCCAACAATTTGGCCAAGTTTTCTTATGATTTTTTATATCGACGTTATATTATTATGTTTGTAAGAGCATTATTGGGGCAATGTAAGTGTTTTAAATCAAATATGGTTAGTATATAAATCAGAATAACAATAACAGAATGATGTTTTTAGGAAGGGATATATGACAATTTCATAAAGCCCTTTCGCCTTATTGGCTTGGGGCTGGTGGGCAACTATACCATCCTGAATAAATTCTAAGATCATTCTATCGAGAGGTGTCAAGTGTCGTAACTGTCGCTCAAGCCCTTTCACCTTCTAGGCTTAGGACTGGGGGGCAAGTGTACCATCTCAAATAAATTTTGATATGGTTTTGCCAAGAGGTGTCAAGCATCGTAACTATTACTCAAGTCCTTTTGCCTTGTAGGCTTAGGATTGGGGAGCAAGTGTACCATCCTGGATAAATTTCGAGATGGTTTTATCAAGAAGCATCAGTCGAGAGCCAAACACATTGAAGGCTGAGTCGAGAGGGGATACCAAAGGATTGAGAGTAGGCTGACTTCCTAATGTAAACTACCTCCCTAAAAGGGTATCAGAATAAATTCATTATAGAGGATCGTATCTATAATAAAATTTTATCTTTAATAACCAAAGATTATAGTATTAAAACCATCTTAGAAAATCTGATATTTTTGGGACCTATTAGACCCACAAATAAGTAACTATAAAATCCAAAACCCTAGACCTAAGAAGACAGATTACACTCTTGAATGTTTTGGCTTTGGTGGCTCGCCTAGAATAAATCCTAGACATCCTCTAGACCGGAAAAGTTATGTATAAAAATTATATTTAAATAATTTTGAAAAGCAAATTACTAAGTTTGACCAAGTTGCTGAATATGTTAATTCTATAAGCAAAAGTTGAAATCACTAGTAATCGTCGGTCATCCATACAGTAGTGAATTCGTTCTTGGGCCTTGTACACACCGCCTGTCACACTGTGGGAGTTGGTCATGGACGAAGTCGTTACCTTAACTGCAAAGAAGGGGATGCCGAAGGCAAGACTAGTGACTAGAGTGAAGTCATAACAAAGTAGCCATGCTAGAAGGTGCGACTAGATCACCTCCTTTTCAGGGAGAGCTAACGCTTGTTAATTAGGTTTTAATTATTAACTATGAGCATGAAAAATATTTTTAAAAAAGTTAATTTTAATAGTTTTCTTGAAAGCAAATAGTCGTTAGTTTTTTTTAAGGAAATCTCACAAAGTAACTTCTCTATGTGAAAAAATGTTTTAAAAAAATAAAATAAAATTTAATAGTTTTCTTGAAAGTAAATAGTCTTTGTTTTTTTAAGGAAATCTCAAAAAGTAACTTCTCTAAATGAAAGAAAAGTAACTCAAAACAAAAAGTATGCAGAAATAAATGAAAATAGGTTACGTTAAATCAGTGACGAATCCAAAAATTTCAAGTAGTAGGAATAATTCTTAAATATTGATCTTATAATATTAAATATATAATTTAAAATTTTATTTTTATTTTTTAATTTTCTAAAAATATTTTTTTAAATATAAATATCTATTATAATTACTCTCTAAGAAGTCTCATATTTCCAAAATATTGAATGATTTTTTCATTTTCAAAATTTCAAAAATATCTATGTAAATAATTAAACAATTAGTTAACCATTTATCTTTTGTATCAAAATTTTAAATTTTTTTTATTTTAAAAAATAGTATAATATAAGTTTAGTTGGGTCAATCATCACTTCTTTACTTACTTAATAACTATAACTAATATTACATATATAAATATATTAGAAGAAAAAGAGATATAAAGTGTCTCTATTTTAAAATAAAAAGATAATGATTGTTATTTAAATGATAAGAGATTTAGAAATTAAATATTATTAAAGTAGAAAAAATAGAGAATAGATAAATAAAATATAATGAAAGAAAGTTATTTAAAAATTATTATAAGAATAAATTAATT